TATTCTATTTTTGTTTTCTTTTATTCTTTTTTTTTTTTTTGGTTAAAAGCTTTTATTTCATACTACAATTGGTCTGAATATACTTTAATGTGACAACCATATAGGTAACATAAATTTCAAAACTTACATATTAGTTTGATATATTCAGACCATTAACAGTCTGTATACATTTTACGGAAACGGACACATAGGCACTAGAACTTTTGAAAGTTGCCACTAATTTTGATATATTCAGACCGCTTTCGATATGAATATATTTTACAGAAACAAACGCATTGGCGCTAGAACTTTTAAAAGTTGACACTTAGTCCTATATATTCAGACCGATTTTCGGTCTGAATATACTTAGTGGCGATGGCCATATAGGAGCCCAACTTTTAAATCCTTGTAGATAAGGACATATATATTTAGACCAAAGATGGTCTGAATATATTTTTTGTAACGACTTCCCTCCTAAATATTCAAACCGTTTCTGGTTTGTAATTCTATTATTATTTTATTATATTCCCATTTTTTGGACCATTTACGGTCCGTTTATTTCAATTTTAAAATGTTGGTCTAGATTTTTTTACCAATATGTCCAAACCGTTTTTGGTCTAAATAGTTTAATTATACAGACCGATTTCCCTTTGGTCTAGATATTTATTATTTCATACCATATTTTTTTGGATCAACTATACGGACCAAAATTGGTCCGTATATATTATTTTGGATCAATTTTTGAGATATTCGGACCGAAATGTTGATCTGAATAAGCATCTTCTGCAGTTGTGTTTCTCTACAGAGATGCTGTTTCCATTATTGTTTTCCAGTGGAAATTGATCATCTACTAGGCAAGGTTAGGACAATGTGCGATGTTATTTTCCCTTCAGATTCATGTAAGATTATATTCAGACGTGCATTGTCATTTATTAAGGTGACTGTACTGCAATTATTGTTATTTTCGTCTCTACTGGACAAAGAAACGTTTCCACCACTGTGTTTTCTAGGTTTTTTTTTCTTTTCTTTTTATTGAGGGCAAAACTTATTTTTTAAAATTTTGAGTACAAGGGACTGAGTTTTCTAGTTGAATTTTTTTTTTTAAAATTAACATGATTATGGACCACATGTTTAAGTTACTTTTGAGGGAGAAATTGTGCATTTAAAGCAGAAGAAAGCAAAGGGCTAGGATTTGGTAGCTTACCGACGTCCAAACTATTTATTTGTTTTTGTATAAATGGTCAAGGCCTAATTTGATTCAGTTTTCGTATATTTCAAAATTAATTTTTTATTAGATAATTTTAAGGATTCACTTTCACATTAATTTGTTATATTTAAAGAAATTAACTTTTTTAATGTTAGCCCTAAAACTTAGACTCTAGACCTAGCACACGATTTACATTTGCTTAATTACGAATAGTTCTAATTACATCCAACTTAATTGCTCGCTCTGAATATATATATAT